GGCTTGAGAGCCGTCAGCCGGTGCCAAGTCAGTTTTTGAAGCCATAGGGCTGAAATTCGATGGCGAGCTGTCCAGGGCCAAGGCTGAATGATGCAACCAGGATTGCAAGCAGCTGCGCCGTTTTTTCTTTTTGTTTCGTTGAGCTGAGGGCTTCCCACGGGCGACTGAAAACCTGGCAGTGGCCCGCGCGCTTCTGAAGTATTGACTTGCAGAGTGGCGAGGTGGTCGAACCAGCGGTTGGACTGCCGCCAAGGGGTACTGGTTTGACACGTTTTCTGTCCGACTTTTTCCGTGACGGTGGATGGAGCTAGTGGGTGCAAGGTCTTTCAAGTCCACTTTTGATGGAAAGGTCAGACTCTGCGGATCGAAAGAGATAGGGCTCTTGCACACCACACAAACGCAGCACGCAAAGCCACCAGGCCTTCAAATGGCAATGAACAAGCCACATTCAAGGATGCCCTACCGCAGCACGGTGCATTGCGCATGTTCCGCGGCTCCGCGTGCAACTTGATTTTGGTTCGCCCGCGAAGCTTGCTCAGCCTTCCAAAGCGGCATGAGACTCAAGCAAATGTTGAAGGGACAACACGTCAAAGCCTGGCAGTATCATGCACTCGGCCCTGGGCTAAAACCGGGAGGTTTGCAAACAAAATGCATGGTTGCAAATGTTTGTATGAAGGCATGGTCTGCCATCACAGGTCTTCTAGTGGTCCCTGTCCTGGTTGTGGTCCCTCATTTGCTTCACGCAAATCTCAGCTCTGGATGATGGGGGGGGACATGTTGCCCACGTACGTCATTGTTGTCTAATGTGTGCTGTTTGATTTGTGTATGTGATGCGCAGTTTGTTCTCCGTGTGCGTGTGCGAGTGCCTGTGCGAGGGTTTGCACTGGAAGGGTTGGCACTGGTCAAGGGAAGCAGAGGTAACACTTGCTTTTTCAAACTGACATCGTATCATACTTTTTACGGATGACAAAGCAACCAACGCACCCACACATATCTTCAGGCTTGTTCGCGAAGTTTGGTCCAAGTATTCCACCGTCAATTTAGGATGGGCATGAGGGGCTATCTGCTTTTTTTGCAAAGTGCCGGGCACTCTCCGATGTTCTTCGCATTCAAGTGTTTCAGCTCTTGACCGTGGCTCATGTTTTTTAGTGTGTGCTAGTTCCGTTTTTCTCCTGACAATTCCATGAACACCAGAAGCAAAAGGTTCAGGTACGCCCTAGCCCTAACTGGTGGTTTGGATTGGTGGTTTGGGGATGTGAACGCTTGCTTCTTGTGGGGAAATGGGACACCACCCTTAACCACAAAATCACCAATCCAAACCACCAATTGCAAGGAAGCTGAGAGGTTCCGTCGGTGTTTTGCCCTAGCCAAGCACCCACCTGCCAGCTTCCGCCGCCGCCGAGCAGCGGTTGATATCTCTCTTCGCGCCTTGGCCGGCTTGAGGTTCTCGCAACTCAGCCCTACCCAAAGCCATGTCGCCCTGAACACTACAAAGCGTATGACCTTCAAAATAATGTTCTTCCTAGTTGGTCTATGCTTCAATGGCAGGGAGCCCCAGTCAATTGGAGGCTCCCTCAATTAACCTGTTGCACCTAAAAACATGGGAAGTGAAGTGATTAAGGCTCTCAGTAAATAGGAGCCTCCAGGGTCTTTGCCCTTGTAGGGGTTGCTGTTATTTTCATCCCTGAATCCGGGACCGCCTTGAATTGACAAGGAACCGCCCAAGCGGGCTCTGAATTGTACGATTATTGGGCGGAAAAGATTTCAGAGTCCATTGCAATTGATGTCCACCCCTTTTAAGTGTGGCCTTTTTCGGAGGGTACTCTCCTCGTGGTTCTTTGAGGGGGAATTTCTTGGGCAAACCACCCATCGTGGGTGGGTTTTCTTTTTTTTGGTTGCGCTCTCACTGATCCCCTTAAGAGGAAGCCACCAGTTGGACGGACTGAGAGCCATGGCATACGGGTATGGCTTGTAGGGATACCCCAAAAGTGGTGGATTTCCTTTGGGCTTCCCTTTAAGACAAGGTGAATTGGTACCTTACCAACCAACCAGCCAGCCAGTGAACCAGCCAACCAACCAACCAACCAACAAACCAACCAACCAACCAATCAACCAACCAACCAACAAACCAGCCAACCAACCAACCAACAAACAAACAAACAAATAAACAAACCAACAAACCAACAAACCAACAAACCAGCCAACCAACCAACCAACAAACCAACCAACCAACCAATCAACCAACCAACCAACAAACCAGCCAACCAACCAACCAACCAACCAACCAACCAACCAACCAACCAACCAACCAACCAACAAAGCAGCCAACCAACCAACCAACCAACCAACCAACAAACCAGCCAACCAACCAACCAACCAACCAACAAACAAGCAAACAAACAAACAAACAAATCAGCAAACCAACAAACCAACAAACCAACAAACCAGCCAACCAACCAACCAACCAACCAACCAACCAACCAACAAACCAACCAACCAACCAACCAACCAACCAACCAACCAGCAAACCAGCCAACCAACCAACCAACCAACCAACCAACCAACCAACCAACCAACCAACCAACAAACCAGCCAACCAACCAACCAACCAACCAACAAACAAGCAAACAAACAAACAAACAAATCAGCAAACCAACAAACCAACAAACCAACAAACCAGCCCAACCAACCAACCAACCAACCAACCAACCAACCAACCAAAACCAACCAACCAACCAACAAACCAGCCAACCAACCAACCAACCAACCAACAAACAAACAAACCAACAAACCAACAAACCAACAAACCAACAAACCAACAAACCAGCCAACAAACCAACCAACCAACCAATCAACCAACCAACCAACAAACCAACCAACCAACCAACAAACCAGCCAACCAACCAACCAACCAACCAACAAACAAACAAATAAACAATCCAACAAACCAACAAACCAACAAACCAACAAACCAGCCAACCAACCAACCAACCAACCAACCAACCAACCAACCAACCAACAAACAAGCAAACAATCAAACAAACAAATCAGCAAACCAACAAACCAACAAACCAACAAGCCGACAAACCAACCAACCAACCAACCAACAAACCAACCAACCAACCAATCAACCAACCAACCAACAAACCAGCCAACCAACCAACCAACCAACCAACAAACAAGCAAACAAACAAACAAATCAGCAAACCAACAAACCAACAAACCAACAAGCCGACAAACCAACCAACCAACCAACAAAACAACCAACCAACAGACCAACCAACCAGCCAGCAAGCAAGCCTCCAAAGACAACACATGCATCTGCCGTTGAGGTTGCGAAGTGGAAGCTGAACATCATACGTGCCAGATCAGCGCTGTCCAAAATTTTGCCCACGAGGCCGGGGCAGCGGACCGCTTGCCCGGTGCAAACCTGGGTGCAACACAATCCGACTCGGTAAATTTGAAGGGAAACAATGGGATTGTGATAGATGTTTTGGTGCCTCCAGGTTCTTAGATCTGAAAACCCAGACAGCTTGAGGCAAGTCCCGAGGATTGCGCATTTCCGTCCCGGCCAGTTGGCCCGACTCCTCTGGCCTTTCCAATTGGATCGGCATTGGAGAAGAAAGTCCAAGAGAGCCCTCCTCCATGGTTGGAAAGAGAGCAAATACTTGAAGCCAAATGGGGTTTTGGTACACCCTGGCCCAACCACCAAACCAAGCCACTAATTCGGGGTAAGGTGATATCAACTATTTCCCCCCTTCATGAGCTGGGCCAGAGGTTCAAGCGATGGAACCCCCACTTGCATGTTCAATCCATGTAGGCTATAACCGTGGCATCATGCCAACCACATCCTGTTGTCCAACCAAAAAGCAAGCATGTAACCCAAGCGGGTGGAACTTTCAAGCAGTGCTTCTTCCCTCTTCTGAACACGTGTTCTTGTGTTTTCATGATTGGTTCTGTTCGGTTGTTCTGGCTCAGTTCCCCCCCTTATCAGCATTACTCGCCCTTTTGGAGCTCTTCACTGATGTCGACGGTTTTTCTGCAGTGGCGGATCACTCTTGGGTGTTTTCCCCCCCCCCCCCCAAATGATCCGGATCCCCCAAGTAGCACTCCAAAAACGAGTCCGTGATCGCTCGCCCAGCTCCAGGCGCCGGGAGATCATCGTGCGCTTCCGCCCCCAGGCCTTGACTCGGCCGGTCAGAGGGCCAACAGCCCTTGAAGAGACCGAGGGGCCCACCTTGCGAGCAGAGCTTGCCAACCGATTTTTTTTCAGGCCCTAAACCTGGTTCCTGAAGCCTCTGTCAGGGTTTGAGGGGCCTGGCTTGGGCAAGCGCGCAACGCTGGTGATATAAGCGTGCGATGTTTTTTGGTTCACTAGGTGTTTACTCCTGTATTCGTGACTATGTTTGGTTTCAATCATCCCACCACCTCAGTCTATTTACTTAGTACTTCACCCACCAATTTTGAGGTGGGGTCACCCGTTCCAGAACCGCCCCTCCCGCCAAAGACGTCAGGCCATCAAAATCGGGTTCCATGCCCAGCCGACTTCTTGACGGCTCCTGCGTTCCACGCCTTTTGCAAGTCCGTATTGATCAAAACGCGCAGCGCGCAGCTCCCTACCCGCACAGGGCCTTGGAGATGTGAATGACCAGCTCGAGAGGCATTGAGCTCAGGCCGAGGTGATCGAAACAGTTGAAACCACTTGGCACAGGTCTATGTTTACCTATTTGATGACGACACTCGGGGGTAAAGTTTTTAAAGCGAGCTCACCATGATGAAGGTCCTTTACGTGGGGATCCCTTGTTTCAGACTCTGGAAATACTGTCATTTCAATGTAGGCAGGTGTTCTCTGTAGGTCAGTCTGGCTGGACATGGATGAGTTTCGCTACTTTCAGTTTGGTTCCCATCATTTTACCAGGGGCCGCTCTGCCTGTTCCGGCCCTGTTTGAAGGGTTCCGAAAGGCACGCTTCATTTTGTTGGACCTTCTGGTCGACCCCC